TTTAAATATAATATATTATCCTAGACTGACAAATCATCTCCGTTCAGAATCGTTTTTCGTATACAATGATACCTATCATTGCATTCAAATTTAACCTACCCTAGTCATGACCTCTGCAGAGGTCCACCCCAGCCTCTAATGTACAGCAGAGCGACATCCACTTACCCGCTTTTTTATAAATGACAATTAAATCTTATTCGTTGGCAAAAAAAAATTTAAAATTTAATAAAAGGATCCTAATATATTGCCGCAATGGTAGTTAAAAAATATTAAAAATATACGATCACAATTTTTTTTTCGATAAGCATTGAAAGTTTGAATTTTGACAAAATATATTTTGAGTTAAAAATTCATGAAAGATTATCTTTTTTAATTCTAAGATTTGAAAATTCATTACAAGATTCTTCATGAGTTTATCTACTTTTATCAAATAAAAAATGTCTACCAGAAAGTCAAATTAAACTTTTATGAGTATTTGAATATTACAGTATTGGATATTAACTCGATTTGTCTTGTAACGATATTCTTATTTTGTTGTTATTCAAAAACTCTAGAAACTTGAACTTTACACCATATTTTTATTTTATTAATTCCTATACTTAATATGATTTTCTAAATATTTCAACAATTTTTAAGTTATTTATAGACATTGAAATATTCTGTTTTTTTAGTTTTGATTCTATAAATGTCAATATAATTGTATTCATTGGGTCAGAAAGCTTGAAAATTTAACACTGGGTTTCCCATAAGTTTATAGGAATGTTAGTTGGAAAATATTAAAAATACATTGGCACGTTTTTTTTTATAAGCATTTTAAGTACAAGTTTTAACAACATAATAGTTAAGGATTGAAAATGAATAAAAGGTTCCACGTAAGTAACTTCTCAACAAAAAAATCTAAAAAACTACACACACAAAGTTTTTTTTTATAGTTATTTTAATTTAAAATTTGGATGAAATTACATATTAAATAATCAAAAATAACAATTTTAGTTATATTGTTAAATATAATAAATTTAAAAATATTATTTGTGAGTATTTGAAATTTCTAGAGTATACTTTATATTGTAATGTCGACCAGGCTGAGTTTAGACCATATCGAAGCTGTACTGACTAGATAGCGGCCTTAATTTCGTTTGCGGAAAACGGTTTCCAGAGAAATATGAAAACAGCTGTTCTAGTTGATTTATCAGCCGCCTACGATACTGTATGGCGAACGGGCCTATTGACAAAAATACTCCAACTGTTTCCATGCCTCACTTTATATAAATTATTGGATGACATGCTAAGCAATCGTATGTTTTCAGTTCATTTAGAGGAGATGCAAAGTAAATTACGTCGCCTAAACAACGGCCTACCACAAAGTTCTGTCCTTACCCCGATTTTATTCAACCTCTACACATTTGATCTGCCACCTACAACTTCCCGTAAGTTCATTTATGCTGATGATATCACACTGACTACTCAACACAATAAGTTTGAAGTTACCGAGGAAATATTAACAAATGATCTAAAGCTAATTTCAGATTACCTACATAAATGGCGACTTATACCTAACACAGATAAAACTGTAATGACTACATTCCACTTAAACAACCATTGGTCAAAATACAAGCCTCAAATTAAATTTGGTGGTAAAAGTCTTGATTACGATCCGACACCGAAATATCTAGAAGTGACGCTTGATAGACAGTTATCTTACAAACATCACATCGAAAATATTGCTGCTAAACTTAAAACTTGAAATAATATTATTCATAAACTAGTGGGCTCATCCTGGGGGGCAGCAATGCCCACCCTAAGAACGTCGACCTTGGAGCTAGTCTACTCTGTCGCTGAATATGCCTCCCCAGTATGGTTAAATGGTTCGCACTGTAGTAAGATTGATGTTCAACTTAATCATTCTATGCGTATTATCTCTGGTACTGTCAAATCGATGGAAATGAGAATTCAATGTTGATCAACAGAATGGCTCCCCAGTCCTTTGCAATATCCTACCGCCACACATCAGGCGTAAAAAGGCTGCATGCAGAGAATGGTCAAAATATTCTTCAAATAGATCCTTCCATTACATCAAGACACGTCAAACCAGAATCCTAGGCTAAAATCTAGAAAACCTGCTTATTTAACTACAACCAGACTCATTGATAACCAGTATAACGGTATGGATGAATGGAAACTAGAATGGAAAAATTCTGCCACAGACAATTACAGCCTAATTAAAAACCTGGATACTCTAGTTCCTGGACAACAATTACCTCGTCATGAGTGGGTAACACTCAATCGCCTACGTACATGACATGGTCGCTCTGGAGAGATGCTACATAAATGGAAAATGAGAGATAGTCCAGGCTGTGACTGTGGCTACTCATTACAGTCCATCTCCCATGTTATAAGTGATTTCCCTCTCCACGCATTTAACGGGATAATGAAAGAACTCCACAATGCATCCAGCAACGTGGTCAAATGGATCAGTATACTTGACATCCAACTTTAGACTACCTAACTAAATCACCACATGGAAAAGTTACCCATATCATTAATTTTAATGTTTAATATTTCTTTATATTGCTTGCATATTATACCATACGATGGTAAATAAAATTTTAATTTTAATAGTTAATGTCGTTAATGACTTATATTAATACTTTATAATAAATTGTATACACTTAAAATAACTAAGTAGTTCGGGTACATAAAGAATTTGATTTGATTAATTTGGAGTTTATTTTATTTAATAGGTACCTAGATTTTTGTTTGAAAATATAACGATGTAATTAATATAACATATCCTAGGCTGACAAACCATCTCCGCTCAGAATCGTTTTTCGTATATAATTTTATTATATCATTGAATTCAAATTTAATACCATCCATTACAATATCCCACTTTTAAACTACTGTACAGCAGAGTGACATTCACTTAACCGTTTTTTTTTTTTACTTTTAACCCCCTAAGTAGAATCGAAGAATATAATAACGTTATAGGAATATTATTCATATTCAAATATTAATTGGTTTTATTTATAATATTATTGGCTTATACCTAATTAATAAAATAACTAAACACATTAGGTAATTGACAGCTAGTTAATATGTATAGTAATAATATTAATATAGATGAAAATAATATAATTTTAAATATAGTATTAACTAACGCAAAAATATAATATAAAATCCAACAGAGTTTCACATTTTTGTGAAATAATTCACTAGGAGGAATATTTCAAACATTAAACACTAATAATTATAAATTAAAATGTATTTGCAAACTCAGGTATATACTCGTATTATAATATGACAGTAGATCACGACAGGATTCAACGGCATCTGACGTCAAGTTGATAGATATATCATATATGTATATAGTTAACACTTTTTATCTTTTAAATAATTTTATTTGAGTTGTAACATTACTAGTTTATGGATAGTATATTAGTATAAATCGATTAGTCATTAGTCAAACCAAGCATATTTATTTAATTATGTAGTTTAAGATAATTCAAGTTTTGATACGTGGATGCAAATATATTAATAAAATTATCAATATTCAGTTGTTTGGCTTCACTTTTTTAAATTGATATAAATAATTAAAACATTTTTCAAAAATATTAATATTAGAAAAAATGTTTTCACAGTTTCACATCTAGTAAAGGACGCTGGAATTTAAATTCAAATTGTTCATTTCAATCATTAATATTTTAATTATTAATAATTGTTTACTACAACAATAACAATGTTTGGACAATTTAGATCACCTGACATACTTGGTCAACGTGAAAATGTACTGTTTAAGTATAATGATTGTAAAATAGGCGAGAATGTGGTGATAAGAATACTAAAATAATAATAATAATTATTATTATAGATATATTATATATCTATAATGTAGATAGAGCAAGATGTGATCTTCGAAATATTCTAGGTGTTATACTTTCTGGTAATTTAGAATTTAATATGTATTCTTATTTATAAGTATAAGTATAAATTTATATTTTATAGTAAAAGACAATTTGCACGAAATTGGGACTAAGGAAAGACAAATAAATCAAATTTACAGCCGTAACCAATTTAAGTTTTACAAGAAGTCTTTTATTACGACCAACGAAGTATCTGAAGATATGATTTCATTAAAATAGAGGTAGCTCGACATAATTCTAACTTATGTGGTCAAGGGGTAATGAGATAATACGAAAAAATAAAATATTAATAAAATTCAAGTATCTCAAACCACTACTCTGGAGAAACTCACTGGTGCACGTACCTATCTATGTCTCAAATTTTTCTCTACATTCAGATCTTAAACTAAAAACAGTAAGTGATGAGTCTAAATGTTTCTAATAAAAGATTCCACAACCACCTAAGTACTGATTCGAATCCACTTATCAAAAATTTAGCCAGCGCTGTTATTCCTGGTAATCTTAAAGACGCCCAAAATGCAAGTGGTGTCGTGATTTGTTATATATATATATATATATATATATATGGTATTTACAATTAAATATTTATCATAGTATTACAATCAAAATGGATATCCGGAACGTGATTTGTCTGTCTTACAATGCTATTGCAGTTGCTGCTGATCAATCATATTGTTTCCAGTGAAAATCAAGACAACACATTTTTCAACCTTACACTTATCACCAATATTCCGGTTAGGAAATTATTATTACTATTAAATTATTATTATTACAAGATATTAGGGGTAGGTAAATTATGTAAAAGTAGTTGGACCATAAAAACATTTATAGAATTAAAATATGTAATAAATAGCTTTAATGATATAAGGAGTATGTTAAAAACAATTGACCCATATGCAATTAACACTCACAAAATAGCTGTAAATCACTTAGAGAATCGTGTAGAAAAAATAAATATAGATATACAGATTATTAGACAAATGGCTAGGCGTAGCAAAAAGGTTAAGCGATCATTTGAGTCTGGGGGTTCGATGCTACAGTGGATGTTCGGTATTGCCGATGCTGACGATGTACGGAAGTATTATGATAGTTCGATTAACAAATTAGAGAATGATCAAACAGATATAATACACTTAGTTCAAGACCCAGTCTCTATTTTAAAAAGCTGAATAACAAATTTCAATGAAACAATAACAACATTTAATGACAATAAATTATTATTTGACAAAAATATATAAAAATTGGAACAATAATTAACAACATCAATATTGAATTAGTAGACGAACAAAAACAAATTATTGTTCAAAGACTAATATCCCTAATTGAAAATAATATATTTGAATTAAACATTTTTGTAACGAGGTTACAAAGAATGACATCAAACGTTCAAACAAATTAATTAGATGTTTTTATAATTACACCAGATCAGGTTTTGTCAGAAATAAAGCGAATAGAAAAAGTGCTACCTGAAAATTTTTAAATCCCTATCAAATTTAATGAAAATAATATACAAGAAATTTACAAAATATTACATATACATATACCCGTAGACCTTCACCCAATGAACGATAGAATAATATTTCAATAAAGATTTCACTAAGTATCGCCGGAATTTTCAAATTGTATTACATTATACCAATATATACCTACGTTCCAATCAATAATCACTGACAATGCATACATATCGTCATATCGTAGAAAATCCAATATACTTATTAACAGATGATGTGGTGACAAAATAYTTAATTTGGTCAAATATCAATAACTCTATAATAGTTGTCGACATTTTTGTTTTAGTTTCAACGAAATGGTACACAATATAGTGATACTGATCACTGTGTAACAGAAATATTAAAAAATGCTATGACTAAACCTACGCAATGTAATACTTATATTACAGAATTCAAAAAAGAATTTTGGTACCCATCKTTTTTCAAAAATAATTGGGACTTTGTTTGTGAAAAGCCTACCTCAKTAACAATATAGATCTTTTATTCGTAAAATATTATAAAAAATTCTGGGAAATTATTTCTGAAAGCTGGGTGTCAAGCTCATACAACTAAAAGCATATTAATAACAGAGCATACGGTAGAATCGTCATTTGCAACACTGCCTTTAGAGTTAAGTATCTTAAATGAATCATGTTGCAATATTACACTTAATCAGCGCTATCCGAAACCCATTCATTTAGATGAAATAAAAAATGTAAAATTTGACAAAGAAGCTTTTATAAAAATAATTTCAAAATTAAATACACAAGATGGATTACTAAATTCAATATTATTAAATAAGACATATGAATTTGTGTATACGAACAAATATTTGATTTTTAGAAAATATAAATTTAGGTTATCATCGCCCATTAATCCAACAAAACAATAAATTTTACTTAAAACTTATAATTATTAATTAGGTACATTTTATATATTATTATGTACATTTAAATCTYTTATAAATTTATGCATATTAAGTAGTTATACTTTATTTTTAAAAATAGTGAATACATAATATATTTDATTGTATATTATACGTCTGTATGCGCATTTGTGAAATATAAGTCTTAGAAATTTAAATTATGATTTATGTGGATTTAATGTTTAATTTATTTAATATTTTTTCTTTTTATAATAATTTATAGTTGTTTGTAAAACTGTACAAGTAATAAGTATACAATTATTTAGTAATTTAAACAATAATTAAGAATATTTCGTTCTTAAAACGTAATAAATTTAATATTTTGTAATTTGTGTAGCCATGTAGGTACAATATATTATCAATATATTATTATAATATATGTATTAATAATGTACCCACAATTAATATTTTAACATTTGATTTAATTTTGTTTTTTTTTTTCACTTAATTATTCTAATACCATAATTATTATACTAATTTATTCAAACAGTTGTAATATAATTATTATATGACATTTAATTAGTAATACTCATTATATATTTATGTACAATAATATATACTATAATGAACAATGAATGGTATAACATTTGATTTAATTTTGATTTTTTTCTCATAATAGGTAGGTAGGTATAGGTATTAATTATTCCGATTTGGCGATATAGTAATTAGTATTTTTTTTTTTTTTTTTTATCATGCTATCATAGTCAAATTGTTCAATAATTCAAGTAATACGGTTTATCGAAGTGGTTTACAGTAAAAATACGAAAATTGTAGAGGAGAATTTTCTTAACAATCATAAGAAGGCCGATTTTCGATATTTTTATTAATTAGTTAAATAATTAATCGATAAAAAGTAAAAAAAAAAATATTAATTTACTATACGATATTGGACGATTGGATTACGATATTTAAAATCGGATTACTTACAATTGTTAAAAAAATTATCCTCTACAATTTTTCGTAATATGTAATATTAATACTGTAAAACTCTTCAATAAGCTGTATTACTTGAATTACAAAAGCTTGATTTTTATTTGTGTACAATTCGGATACGATTACAAAATATAATTATTGTAAAATCCAATAAAATTGATAATATTCGTCACAAATAATAATTTTTTCCTCTGGCTATTTATAAACTATGTACGGACGGCGGGCGCACGCTGCGATACAAAACCTGTTTTGACCTAWGGTGCGGTATTGTCGTTATGTGATGGGATATGAACACTTATAGAAACGAACGCTGCCGCTGTTTATGAGCGCAGCACATGACGAGCGTATTTTTTTAACCGAAATACATGGTTTCGTAATTCAAGTAATACGGCTTTGTGATGTGTTTTACAGTATAAATACCTATTACGAAAATTGTAGAGGAGAATTTTTTTCTAGAATCGTAAGAAGTCCGATTTTTGATACCGTAWTCTAATCTTCCAACATTGCRTGGTAAATTAACACGTTTTTGTTACTTTTTATCGATTAATTATTTAACTAATTAATAAAAATATCGAAAATCGGCCTTCTTACGATTGTTATTGTTAAAAAAGTTCTCCTSTACAATTTTTATAATARATATTCTTACTGTAAACCGTTTCAACATCCGTATTACTTGAATTACGAAACCATGTTTTTATGCCATACTCGTATTTTGGTCACCACGACGGTCTCTTGAGTCTCGTGATGACGTGCAAGCGTGCAGCTTGCAACTGTAATCACCCGGTATAACATGGTATACTGAACACGTTGTTTCAGATCCTGGTGGTATATATTCTGTCTGAAATGCCGTCAGAAGGAAGTGGGACCCGGATGGGAACCGGGATGCTGGCTGAAGATTTGCCCACACCCGTACTGTCCTTCGTTCCGGCACGTGGCCCAGATCCTGGCGTTACTCGTTACCGTCTCGTTTTTCTGGGGTGTGGTGCTGATCGTATTTGRTTCGGATGCCAAACCAGGTGGGCAGTTGTTCAATATCGCCCTGCTAGTGGTGTTTGCGTATATGGGCGGATGGGTTTTCCGTATGCTCACCTTGCCTGCACTAGTTGGAATGCTTCTGGTAGGAATCGTCTACAAGAACGCCGGTTTCATAGACATATCCCGCAACTACACGGAGCTCGTCTCCATCTTGAGGTAAGTGTCTGAAAGATGAAGGTCCGCTCAAATTTCTAATGGTCTAGAACTTCAAATCGCCTCATATCAATTTGTTGTTGTYGTGGGCGATGAGTTGGTAATGAAATGTGAAAATGTGATGGGTAACTCGATTTTACAAAACTGTTTTAAACATGCCAAAAAGTACATGAACAATATATTATCACTTTGAAACGCCATAAATAGTTACTAAGAAAACAAGGGTGTACTTACTAGTTACTAACATAGGCATGCGCAATATCATGTAATAATTATTATTATTTGGCTGTTATTATAATTAGAGAATAAAAATGTTTCATTTTGATCTTAAAATTATAAATTTTTTTCWATTTACCGCACAATCTAATTATTGAAGCTGTAAGTCTTATTCCTTGACCAATAAACATAACTAACGTTTAAATAAATAGCCACATGTATAAATTCCAAGTTGGCATTTTGTTTCAGAAAAATAGCGTTAGTTGTAATATTCACTAGAGCGGGATTGGACCTGGACCCAGTAGCGTTGAAAAAACTGTACTGTAGAATGTTATTCCTTGCTCTCATCCCGTGGTGTACCGAAGCAGTCGTRATCGCGGTGACTATTAACTATTTTTTGAATATACCGTGGTCGTTTGCTATATTTTGCGGGTGAGTATCGTATGAARCTAAGTTAAGTTATTATTCGACTAAATATTTCTGTTCCATGCATACCTAACGATTTTGATGTTCTAACACAGTTTTTGTATAGGTATACGCTAATCGTATAATACCTATATTATAACATTTTGGCATCTGTCCACTGTCGTAGATCGATTATCGCTGCTGTGGCTCCGGCCGTAGTAGTCCCTTGCCTATTTCGGCTGAGAACGAAGGGGTACGGTGTGGCCAAAGGGATCCCGACGTTGATCATAGCTGTCGCTGGGATGGATGACGCTGCATCAGTCATAGCTTTTGGAATTGGCAACAGCATGCTTTTTGGTGCAAGTACGACAAGTACGTACATCTATAAAACGTTTGCTGCAATAAACATAGTAATAAACTGAATTATTTTTAATATTCTTCTTTAATGTAAATAGTTACTAAATTGAAAGCATAATATATATTTTAAATTAAATATTATTTTGCTATATGAAACAGTTACCTGCTATGATCATTTATGGGTTTCTGGTCATTCATAGCTGTGTAATTTATGTAAAATGCACATATTATTTTTTAGTAAAAACGTAAAATATTACCATTTGAATATTTGATTAAATTTAGTCATTGTCAATGGTATGTCGTATACGTATGTACTATGTATACACATGTGTAATGTATGCMTGTAGTATATAAATCTATTTCCTTTATAGTTTTACATGCTATGCTATTTAAAGTAAACTCATAATTTATGTTTTGCTATTTAAAATGTTATTTATATATGAACTGTTAACACGTTTTTGCTCCATATTTTAATATGCTAATACCTAAAAAATATTTATGTATTCCAGATTCAATTACTACTGATTTATTGTTAAGACAAAGCTTAATGCCAATAGGAGTTGGGATATTGTATGGTTTAGTTTTGGGTTTTATTGTTAAGTACGTCCCAGAAAGAACTGAYGTAAGTATTACAAAATACATTGTTAAAAATATATCAAATAATTGTTTCATTAATTGTTCATGGTTCTAGAGTTCTAGAAACTACCGAAGGAGTGTAATTAGTTGTAAATAATTTTATTCTTGTAATACTTCCTTTCTGTCTCCGTTACGTATTTAAATGTTATTACTTATATTAATATACGAGTATATACAAATATATATATATATAAGATAAAGACATGTATATACGTTAAAGACTTGGGCAAGGATGAAACTTAATAGGTAATAATATAGTTGTTAAAAATAAAGTAATATATGGTATATTATATATTACTTTAATAAATTAGGTACTCTCCTTTTTGTCTTGAATCAATAAATTATATTATTTCAATATAATATTGATACTGTTGGTATAATATTTTGATGACTGTACAATTTATTATATTATTATTAATAATAAATGAGTTCAAAGTTAAGTGTTTCTTCGGCTATTTAACTTATCAGCTGTAATTGTTCTGTTTAAATAGCCTTACGTGGTACCACTGAGAATTTTAATGTTGTCTGGGGGTGGATTATTAGCTGTATTGGGTTTTGAACATATAGAATTAGAAGGCGCTGGTCCATTAGCAGTGATCATTGCATCGTTCACGTCARTTTATTTTTGGACTAAACAAGGATGGAATATCGAAAAAGTATGTTTATGATTAAGAATAAATAATAGTTTTGAAATAACATACATTTAAAAATTAATGTTTATTTAAAACAGTAAATTATAATAAAAGATAGGTAATGTGGCAATAATAATTGTTTTGTATAATAAATATTATAGTGATGAAGATTTTGTGGTAAAATTATTTATAGTAACAGACCACTAGGTATGTTATTGTATCAATAATATATATAGGAAATTGGGAATTACTTTTTAGAATATTGTACAAAAAAACAGAAAAGCATTATTAATTAATAATTATAAATTACTTAATTACTATCGATACAAAGTAGTTAAAAGTACAAACTGTAAAAGTTACGCATTTTGATTATACTACGTAGGTACCTGTACTACTCTCAGATTAATATACAATAATATAGATTCTGAGCAAAGCGATTAATGTATTATAGTTTTACAGGATCTTTAAAGTTGTCGTTACAGTTATTAAAAAATTTCAAAAATATATGGCTGATAATATTTTTTCACAAGCGTTTGAAGTTTAAATTTTGATTATATTTTGCCAAGACTTTAAAAATATACGACTTGTTTTTCAATCAATAATTTTAATTTTAATTATCTAAGGTCTAAACGAATTAATAGAAAGTTATTTCAACAGAGATATCAAAATATCAAAAATAAATTGACATAATATTCATAGATTTTTTAAYATTTTTTTTAAAAACATTTTAGTTCTTTCGTTGTTATCAAAAAATATTTAAAAAATCAAGAGACTTATCGTATAACTAGGTATTAATAAAATATTATTTTTAAATTGCACGATTTTATAATTTTTTCCAAAAAAAATAATRTATTATGTTAAGCAACTTGAAAACTACTAAAAAAATATTAAAAAGTAATTTCACCAATTTGAATGTGTTTCTGAATATTTATATTAAACGTTTCACTAACACTCAGTTATGATATTAATATCAAATAAATATTGTAAAAATATTGAATCAAGTAAATTAACAACACATTAACGGATTTATCTTCAATAGTATTAAAAAGTTAACAAACATAAGATGTTGGATAAGTTTAATACGTATACCTACTGCTACTCTGTATCTGCATAATTAATGAATGATAGTGCATGCATGCAAATTAAAATATAATGTAAGTAAATTATAAATTTTAAATGATTAATAATATATTATAAATTCTACATTAATTCAATTAAAGATCTTAATTCCTTCTATAACGTCAAAAAATACACAACACATTTCTTTTTAAATAGTTTTATGAGCATATATTATAAATATTGTTTTATTTATAAAATATAATCAAAGATGACAGCATATAGTTTTTTTCCTATGACATAAAAAAATTTAAATTAATTTCCAATTATTTGGCATGACCGGATTTAGAGTACATAATTTAACGTGATACCTAATATTTTAAATTGATTTTATACTAGAACCCAGTGGCAACGGCTTTTGAAATATTTTGGATGATTTGCGAACCAATACTGTTTGGATTGACAGGCACACARATTGTATTCAAAGAACTTGACCTGGACATCGTAACGAAAATTGTTGTGTGTGTCGCCATCGCTTCTGTGGTATGTAAAAATAAATGTTGTAGTAACCATGATGTATAAACTACATGACGTGTGTATTTATATTGGTTATTGCAACCAATATTAATACCTACTTAATGTTCAAAAATTACAATTGAATGTGAGGTATGATACATGAGTTTTTACCTTGCCATTCAACGTGATAAATAACAATAACAATAATACTATTATTATTAGGTACTTTTATTCTATATTATGCAAAWTATAAAAAATAGAGGCAAACAAATTATAATTCATGATATTTCATTATTCGTTTTAGTCACGGATTTTCATAACAATCATAACAGCGTCTGGGAGTTCTCTGAATTTTAAAGAAAAACTGTTTATCGCATTATCGTGGATGGCCAAAGCATCTGTCCAAGTAAGYGATGGTCTATTTTATTTTATAGTGTTTATCTAATAATAACCCACTGAATTAAGAGATTTTCAATTAAAAACAAACTAAATAATTGCCGAAAGCGTAAAGGTCTTTTAACTTAAATTATTAAAACAAATTTTGAGTGAAAAAAATGGATAACATCTCAAACCATAATCTTGCATCAAAATACAATCAACTCTATTTTTATCYATTGGTTATGTTGTCATCCTCGAGTTAAAGATCACATAGATCGCATCTACAATAATTCACCATAATCGTGGTATCGTTTTCAGGCTGCCCTAGGTTCAGCCGTTGCTAATTCAAAGCCAAATAGTAATAATGATAATACAAATAATACTGTCACTAAGTACTCCAAGGACATCGCAACAGTGTGCATCATCTCCATTCTATTGACCGCTCCGATGGGTGCGATCATCGTTTCTCTGTCGGGTACCAAGCTTCTGACCAAGGCCAAGCCCAGCAACGAACAGTGGCGCCATGGTCCTAGACCCTCAATTCACGATATCACGCTGAACAGCGAGGATGAGGATTACGGTACCAGCGTGAGCAACGATCAAGTGCAGGATAGCGACGTGGCGAATGTGGATTAYATGATCGTGGACCAGAAAACGAACACGAATTTGAATTTTGACCTAAGTTTATTATAAGTACATGATTTTTTTTTGGAAATTTTGATATACCTAATTTAAAATTTGTACGAGTAGTTTCTCAGTTATTAGAATGTACATATATATAGTTGTATAATAAGTATAAATGTATAATACCTAGTCCTTAAAATGGGTTTTCAAAAATATAAATTAGACGTAATATTAAATGTAGTGTTTTTTATGMAGTAACCATTAAAAAAAGTTATAAATGATGTAAGATTAACATTATTTACTAAAATGTTAAAATTATCATAGCCTCTCGCAGCCCACATCTTATGTTACCAATTTGTAAATTATTCTTAGTAACATACAAAACCAAAACAAACCCAAGTRATATTGTGATATTTATACAAACAAACTTTGCGAAGCTTAAACCCCACAAATGTTRGACGGAATGCCAATGACATGAACAGTATATCGAATCAACATGATGTAAATTTTAACGCTTTATTTAGACCAAACCTTGACAACAAGAAATTCTTGACTTTTTAATATTAAACAAAATTTAGTCAACATAATATTATATTAGAATATTAGAATTTAATCGATTGTTAACACTGTGACTAATTGTAACCTATTATATATAAGTAGGTTAAACTTAAAATAATTGTAACTGGTGCCATTTACTGTTGAATTRTTCAAAAGATCAATAAAATAATATAAACTAATAAACAATAAATTATATATTTAGACTAATTGGATATACCTATGGAATAAAATAATGTAATTTTTCAAAGTTATTGTTACAAGAATACGTTTTGTGCTTATATACTAATAAAAATAAATGCATTTGTTTTTCTCAACACAAATTTTTATTTATTTTATTAAAAATAAATGACAATAAWACGTAAAAGTTAATGGACATTAAGTAATGATGGGATAAGGATGTAAGGATGAAATCCACCTCTCTGACATATAATAGTCAATATTGTATACGTAAAATATTATTATTATTTTTTATATGCTAGACCACTGTTCGTTCAAACGAACAAATAAATATTGTATGATATTATATAAAATTAAAGGCAATTCAATGAAATTGAAACCTTTTAAAAATAGTTTGTATTTCGTCATGGCCTTGTCAACAATGGCGTGCTAAAATGACTTAAATGCTTTTAGCACGGCCGTAAAAATAAAATATGTTGTCATTATTAAATTAAACACATATTATGTATTAAACTATTAACCAATTATACCTATGGGTACCTATACATATTAGCATCGAGATATATTTCCTACCGTGGGGACAATAATTAGGGCTTGTGTAATATCCTACGAACAATACTAATGAATAGTTATAGCATGTACATTACCATATTAAAAAAACAAAAAGATAGGTACTTATATAAATGTTTTGATAATGCGGGGACGATAGATTATAATCGTAATACACCAGTTRCGGGTCATTGAGTATGGTCCCGACGACCGACACGAAATATGTTTATTGTTTTTAGTTTATATTTGCGCCAAGTGAGTAAACACCTATGTTATTAAAAATCGTATAGTAAAATAGGACTTCAAGTTTTTAAATAGTTTTTCTCACGTAGATGGTTAACAAAATCGGAAGTATAAGCTTCACGTTTCTCAAATAATATTAATTTATAATCAATTATAATACAGCTCCACTAAGTCTACCTTACGCGTGGTTAGTAAATTCATTATATAATAATAATAATATATTATAATATTGCGTTAATATTTTTAATTTATTTTAGCGTTGGCATTTAAATGGCCAAACCACAAACGTCCGAAAATCCGTAGATCGACTAATGATATAAAAATCCAAGTCCTAAACGAACGTATTGCGAAAATATTAAGATATGTTAATCGTGGCGTTATACGTAATAATTATTGAAATTCAAGGATTTAAGACCACTAAACATAATCCACTATGGCAATAATGGCTACTTTCGAGACGAAGCTGATTGACATCGAGGCCAGAATTCGCGACATAGCATCGAGTGGCCAAAGATAAGATATTAAAATTTAGCATATTACTATTATAATATTATACGGTTTTTGATTTACCATGATATTATGAATAAACTAGACAATAGAAAGCAACTAGTAAGAAATCGGGTATTGGGAGAAAAAATAGTACAAAATCAAAGAGGGAAGGGGAAATTAATAAAATACACGCGAATATTATTAAAATTAAACTAAAAATATAAATATCCAGAATAATCATTAAACATATGGGTACTGTTTATTTAGTTATTTCAAAAGACTGCAGGTTATAATTTGAATGACATTAACTAGAATTAATTATATTTCATATACAATTTTAATTTTAGTATACAGAAATATTTTATTATTTTATTTAAGGAAAAACATCGTACCAAACGTAGGTATTACAATAACTTTTATTATAAGTGGTTGTCTAATATAAATATTATATTTCRTAATTAATGTTATTTATTCTTTTTTGACGAATTGTCAAATCCCTAAATTGTGATTTTATTTGATGTTTTAATGTTAATCATAAATTATGTCTTAAAAAATTTTAATTCTGTCAAACAAAAAATTTATTTTCATGCTGCTGAAATTTTTYGACATTGCATAGTTATATATAGTTTCGTGAGTATCAGTCTATTAATAGTACACATYAAGTTGTGTTCATACAATTTTGTTAAATGTGTATTGCTAATTGCTTGAAATTCATCATCAAACAATAATTGCAGTCTAATTAGACACAMAGATTGTTGATTATGATATGAGATAAATATAAATTGTAAAAACGTTCAAGGCTTAAATCATAATTTTGTCCCATCCAAAAACATAAAAATTAAAAATATTATATTAATGCATGTATAACAGATGTTGGGTCAATACATGGTGAATTGGTAAACTGACTTTAATCTCAAATAGGTAATAGGGTAGTTAAAAGTATCAGTACACAAGTATATATTTTTTAAATTATAAACAAGTGTCAACTGTCAAGTGATTTGATTACAGACATTTAGCAAGAGTACCTAGATACTTGTATATTGAAATTATCATAGTTAAATAAAGTATGATAACACCATATGGTTAATATTGTCAAATATTACTTAATAAGAGAGCATATTAAATTCAATGTCATTATGCAAATAGCCAATAGGTCAATCTTGTTTGGCTTATGTGTTATGTCTTACATGGAAATCGCTCTTTAATTTAGCAAAAAGTATAACTATTAATAACGGTTGATATGTATAGCTTTTATAATTAATTATAATGGGTTTAAGAACGGGCCCAGTGGTCTACTCCGGTCTAGGACCCATCCCCTTATATATGATATATCTAATCAATGTATGCATTTATGTATAATAAGTTGTATTTATATAATGATACGTTTAGAACTTACGCAGCAATGTCTACAAATGTGGATAGATAACTTGTCGTCTAGGGAATCGTTATATAAATTATAATGGATAAATACGATTTAAATTCAATGATATAAATAATTTTAGACAAAAAACTATTCTAAGTGAAGATGGTCTGTAGGCATATTAATTTAAACATATTTTATGATATTATTGTGATTAAAGTAATAATTTATTTTACTATTAGGTATATTGTATTACAGTATCTAGATTAAATTTATTTTTGACATAAAAAATGCATTTGTAAATTGTAAATGTCATTGTGTGTATACCATATACAACATAACAATGTATTCCAAAAACCTTAAGTACCAATGAATAATTTTTTTAGGCAACTTACAACGTCTTACAAATTACAAAATAAACAATTAAATCAAAAAAGTACAAATCAATTATAGGTGCCTATAATAGGTACTTTGTAAAAGTATTCCGAGCAGAAGTTATTAAGCCATTTAATTAATTGGATTAGAACTAATTTAATACATGCTCAAATATTCGTTTATAACAATAGTTGATTAAAAATAGTATAATATTATTATATATTTTCATCAGAAGGGGGACAGCGCAATATGGATATGACTGTTGATAAAAACGTTTGAAGGCGAATGATAAATGTATGATTCGTTTCTATAAATTTATTGAAAATACAATTTGAAATTATTAAATATTTAAGCACTTAATAATATTGTWAAGGCCAAAGGACCCAAAAGTACTTTAAAGATTTGTATGGGAGAGACTTAATTAAATTTATTATGTAATAATAATTTAATATTAAAAAATAATTAATTCCTCTTTAAATATCCGAATGTATATTATAGGTAACATAACATTGAAACTAACAGTATTGAAAACTTAAGCTTGTTGTAATCAGTCTCATAAATATTGTAATACCGTAATATTTCCATAATCCATATATTACTATTTTATTGTTTTTTTTTTTTAAAATCGTGTAATAACATAAATTGCTTGCGGCCCATGTGGCAACAACCACATTTGCGTTGTTACTCAAACGCTTAGAAGGTACACACAGCTTTTGCCTAAGGCGATACTGTACATCGTAAATAATTTTCGTTTGTAGAGTAGATAATAAGGTAAATAATTATTATTTTCTCTAAACGTGTCTGATGAATTAATTGATGCGTTGGTTGGCACGTTTTGTACACTTACCTACTCCTTATCGTCAATAGTTGGCAAACAATAACTAACGATTATTATTTTTCATTTTTCCTTTTAAGTTTATGCTAGTATTTATAATCAATGGTAATATGTACCATTATTATAGTAGGTGTTCTGTAAAATAATGTACGTTTCTAGAACGATTCATGTTAATGTTTTGAAGCGCAACTAGTAGGTACCTATTCTCGTATAATACCATTTCATATACAATATACTTATTGTATAGGTATATTATAGCTATTATCTATATTTAAAGTTTATTTCTGAAAAAGTACCAATAATATTCACAAATATATTTTAATATTATGGTTTAAATAGTATTTKCAACAAATATGGAATCCAYTGTTAATTTGGTTTTGCTAAAGTTTTATAAAATTTTAATGTAAAACAACATTACTAAACAAAAATACAGAATATAATGACAAATATGTAATATAATATAATATAATAAATACTAGGCAATATTGCTGCTATAACAAATTGCAGTGCTCTACAAATGTCAAAACATTTAAAATTTAAAGTAAACATACATTCTATAAATATAATTTTCATATTATGCCACTATATACAGTTTAAGTTTCAAATATTTTTTTAAAGGATATGGTTAATTTTATTCTCATTTTTACTACGTCATAAATTTTAAAACGACGATTCTGTTGAATAGTGATTTAACACAATGTTATTTTTACTACGGGTACAAAAAATAATAAATGCAACGATATCATAGTAGTTCAAAATGAATTTGTATAAAAATTATATTAAAAATAGTAAAAAGTAGGTAAACAGCTCATACATTATGCATAATAATAAAAAATAGGTATATATAAGTATAGTTAATTAACTAACTATAATTTATGATGTTATACATTTGCGTAGCTACTTATTAAATTATGGAATTGCAGGTTGCACAAAACTTGATGCTATTTTCTTTACAAAATACTTTTTTTTGTAGTATATTGGAAATTAATAAAAGTGAACATTTAAAATCAAGAAAAATAATAATCTTTTTTTTTTAATGAATAGGAATTATCCATTTTATACAAACATTTACCTATTAATTTAGATTTTAAGCTAAGGATAAATTATTTGAGTAAAATATATAATGATATAAAACTGGATAAATAATATTTTATGATTATTAATTATTTTTTTATTTTTATAAYAAACACAAAAAAATAAAAATGAAATATTTAAAGGCACAAAAATAACGATTTTTTAGGACTTAGAATGTTAATACTAAATAAGAAATTATAATGCATTCAGAAATCATTATAACTTTTATGAGCACTGCCGCTTTGTGACGACCCAGAGATAGTGTTCATTTTTGTCGACTCACTGTGATCCATTGAACCTCTAAACTTTTTCCGTAAGCTCATAATGACTTTGCGCTTGGCCACAAATATAATAAATATCATCACGCCTTGTAGTGCGTTAATTTCATCTAAAATGTCCCATATGATCCAATCATTTTGTAAGTATTTTGATAGTATCTCAAATGACCACGGGATTCCCATAACCAGAAATAGTTTAATGCTCATAACAAATCTGTCAAACAATAATAAATCAAAAGTTATTTTCAGCTGAATGATAAGTTTTTAAATATTTTTTTGATTTATTGGTCAAAAATTATCTTTACTCATCTTAACTAGCGGAGAAGAGTGAAATTACTAACTTTAAATTTATCTAACTTTTTGATTAAGTACCTAATGAGTAATAACATTTTATCCAAATAATGTTTTGTAGTATAATTTTTCATCTTTATATTTTGTCGACAGTTATTAGCTTAATACTTATACTTTGACTTACCTAACACAGATTAACGTTTACACCATTGTAAATTAATTTAAATGCCCCTAAAATAAGTAATAAATGAAACAGTTAGGCGCATACAGAAATAAATTATAATGATTACTGGTTAGCTTATTATAGATARGTATTTGGTAGGTGCTACAATAAATATAATAAATACTCGAAGTAGGTACTCGGGGTACTCCCGATTTCAACTATATTTCAACTATATTCTTAGTGAATAAGTTTTAAATAATGAATATGTACCGAAAGTAGTTAACAGACAACCGTATACAGTTATACGGTATAGTCTATAATCTAAATCTAATACTCGTATGTAGGCATGTGCTATGTGCAGTATGTGTATGAGCAGTGGGTACCCTACTGAATACTTACTTCTCTTTGTCAATAAGAAACCTTTGTGTTTTTGAATCGGTTCGTTTGAATTTATTGAGTTCAGATTTGATTCTTGAACAATGAATAGCAGTTAGCACGAACAAAAGTAAATTGGCGGTCAGCAAAACAGATACGGGTAGTATGAAGAAAATTAAAGTTCCATAATTAGTATGGTCTGGAAAAATATTAAATATAAATTTATAATTWTGTATTTAAAATCGTACATAAAATATACCTAAAATATAAGAAACAAATATTTTTAATCAAAATTAAATTAATATTTTGAACTTTTAGGTGATAATGTAAAACAGTCAAAGTACCTATGTACTTTTCTTTGAAAAATATCTGTTAAACTACCTTTTATGGGTATTTTGTGTCTTGTCTAAGTATATAGTAATAAGTAGTAAAATGCTTTAATATTACACTAAAAACCATAACATCAACTATTATAACTACAAGCACAAAATTTTAAACAAGCCATTTACCATACTAATACCAACACAACCACCCACTCAAAAACATCTATTGCAGTCGCTGTGGCTACATAAAGCAACTACCAAATTAATATTTTAAGAATTAGTTTAATAAGTTTGAATATTGAAAATCAAATTAAACTTTTATTTTTATTTTTATTTCTAGTTTAAAAGTTGAAAATAGCGTATGAAAATAAGTTTTATTGGTTTTTCATTTTTAGGAGGAAAATTTTGGGAGGATAATCACATTTCCATTCACGTGGAATGATTCTACTCATAGAGGTACCTACATAAAGCAACTACCAAATGTACATTGATTAGAGTAATTATTTAAAACAATTTTGTAGTGAAAACAACAGGTCTATTCGTAAAATAATTACAGTTGTCAAATTTTTAAAATATTAATTTTTTTTATAAAAATATTTTTTGATAATATACATTTTACGAGAGAAATATATAAAATACCGATTTCTTTAAAAGCTTAAAGAAAACATTTAAAAATTGAAGTTAGAATAATATTCATGCAGTATGACATATTGGCATATTATTATAACCGATGAAGACCTTGTTACTTAAATAAATTCTTAAAATCATATTATCATTGCATATTTTTTTTAAAACTTATATTCAACGTATATTATGGTGGTTTTATTCTGGGTACAGTCCAAAATACTTCATTAATAGCTTKTAATGATTAATTTTATAATGCATTGGCCAATAAATAAAAATAATATACCGTATAAATACGATTTTCACAAATATTTTCAGATGTTTCGCTTGCKCTATAATTACCTATTGTAATTATTTATAGATACTTTTTTATACGCAAATAAACTGGTTCGCCCAAGTTCACACACAGGACGGTTAACAGATGTACCTAGATATACTAAATCGAAATTATTTCTAAAATGCTAACTATTTACACGTTTTTAATGTAGAAATATCTTATGGTCATTAAATATA